TCACTCCACCATGAGTTTCTACTTCCAGAAACTCTGTGTTTCTTGATCATCATGACCGAATCTGGAGTGATCAGGACACTAACACTACAGTGTTTTTTTAACGCATAACTGTCTTGTTTTGTAGGGTTATGTTCTCCTAAGAGACATTAAATGTTGTAATTACTTTTACCAACTACCCATAAATTATTTTTTTGTCTATTTAAATAACCAAAAATTAACTTTTTATATAATTTAGGTAAAGAGGAGAAGTTGAAGTTTAATCCATACAGATACACATTCATCGATAAAGCAAGCTCATTCTCATCATCTTCCTCGTCTTCATTTTCATCCAACGGTCGAGATTCTTCCTACGATTACATTGTTATCGGAGGTGGAACCGCAGGCTGTCCTCTAGCCGCAACGCTATCGCGGAATTTCAGCGTTCTTGTTTTAGAGAGAGGTGGCGTTCCGTTTACAAACGCAAACGTCTCTTTCCTCAGGAATTTTCACATCGGACTCGCTGACACGTCAGCTTCTTCCGCGTCTCAAGCGTTTGTTTCAACTGACGGCGTTTACAACGCTCGTGCTAGAGTTCTCGGTGGTGGTTCTTGTATTAACGCCGGTTTCTACTCCAGAGCCGATGCTGCGTAAGTTAAATTACCAGAATTATATATAAATTTACCTCTCTTTTTTTTTTTTTTGAAAGATTGTGCAGAATTGAAATAGATCTTGTTGTTTATAAAGAAAATCATTACTGAATTGCCTCGTGTCGTAATTGATACTAGCGTTACATTTATGAAAAAACGCACCGATCGAGAATGTTGTGTTAATAATGGGCCATGTGGTTTAAATGGAAATGTGCGGGGTGAGGTAGATGCGGGAAAAAATAAATTTTACGTTTATAATTTCGATACTATTCCATCCGTTTTACAATAGTTTTGATACTATTCCTTCCGTTTTACTATTTGTTTCGTATAATTTTGGTTACTATTTGGTCCGTTCCGCATTTGTCAAGTGTCTTAAATTCAATAAAATTTGCAACATTTAATAATTATGAATATGCATTTATCATAATATTCAGGTTCGTGAAGCGAGCAGGATGGGATGAGAAGCTGGTGAAGGAATCGTATCCATGGGTGGAGCGAGAGATTGTTCATCAGCCAAAGTTGACTTTATGGCAAAAAGCTTTGAGGGACAGTCTTTTAGAGGTTGGAGTCAGACCTTTCAATGGTTTCACTTACGATCATGTCTCCGGCACCAAAATCGGCGGTACAATCTTCGATAGATTCGGCCGTCGTCACACCGCCGCGGAGCTTCTCGCTTATGCTAACCCTCAGAAACTCAGAGTCTTGATTTACGCCACCGTGCAAAAAATCGTCTTTGACACTTCCGGTACTGTGATGTTTGTGCATTCCAAGTGTTCGACGAAATTCCTATTTTGGTTTTTTCTTTTGAAGTTTGGAAAGTTAACTTTTTGTTGGTTTTGGATGCAGGAGCAAGGCCTAGAGTAACAGGAGTGATATTCAAAGACGAGAAAGGTAATCAGCACCAGGCTTTACTCTCGAATCGGAAGGGAAGTGAAGTGATTTTGTCTAGTGGAGCGATGGGGTCACCGCAGATGCTGATGTTAAGTGGAATTGGACCTAAGAAGGAGCTTCAGAGGTTGAAGATTCCTTTGGTTTTAGAGAATGAACATGTTGGGAAAGGAATGGCTGATAATCCGATGAACACGATCTTGGTGCCTTCGAAGCAGCCTATAGAACAATCACTTATCCAGACTGTTGGAATCACTAAGATGGGTGTGTATGTTGAAGCCAGTACTGGCTTTGGGCAATCTCCCACGAGTATTCATACTCACTATGGGATTATGTCAGACAAGGTAAACATATGCTACTGTGATTACTGGCATTAAGAGAATGTGATTTTGATGAACTAGAGAATGGTCTTTGATTTGCTTGCAGAATGAATTGTTTTCCACCATTCCTGCTAAGCAGAGAACACCAGAAGCGACACAAGCTTACATCACAAGAAACAAATTCCAACTTCACGAAGCATTCAATGGAAGTTTCATCTTGGAGAAACTAGCTTACCCAATCTCTAGAGGGCATTTGAGCTTGGTCAACACAAATGTAGATGATAACCCTTCAGTCACCTTCAATTACTTCAAACACCCGGTGGATCTTCAACGCTGTGTTGAAGCCATTCGTCTGGTTTCAAAAGTGGTGACGTCTAAGCGCTTCCTAAACTACACGCAGTGCGATAAGCAAAACGTCCACAAGATGCTTAGCTTAAGCGTCAAAGCAAACATCAATCTAAGGCCAAAGCAAGTTAACGATACCAGATCAATGGCTCAGTTCTGCAAAGACACTGTTGTCACAATCTGGCACTACCATGGTGGGTGTCTAGTGGGTAAAGTTGTGAGCCCTGACCTCAAAGTTCTTGGTGTCGACAGGCTCAGAGTTATTGATGGCTCGACATTTAAAGAGTCTCCAGGAACCAACCCTCAAGCCACAGTCATGATGATGGGAAGGTAAACCGAAATCAATACCAGTATAATGAATCAAGATTGTCCTTCTAAAATTCAATATATAAACAGAGGATTTTTCAATGTTTGCAGATACATGGGAGTCAAGATTCTTCGGGAGAGACTTGGAAACAAGGCAGGTGTTTAGATTACAGATTGAGCTTTTATGCTAGACTGACTCGTTCTAGGTAAAGGTAAACAAATTCGTAGTAGATAATTCTGTCGTGGAGTTGCGTTGGAGAATAATTCTCTCTCTATGTTTGTCTCTTTCTCTGGTTATTTTGGTATTCGATTCATTGAAATATAGAATCAGGTTGTCTAATGAACTGTGTAACCKATTTTGGGCGATCGGCTTTGTTTGCTTGTATGAAAAGTTATTCATGATTTCTGTTTGAACAATAGTTTCAGTTTGCATCTATCCTAACCAAAGAGGAAGCAAATTTTGTGAACAAAAACATGAAACTGCTACACTTTTACCAGAGTATCTTGACGTATTGACAAGACATTAATGCTTTGTTACCTTTGAACATTCTGAGAAACTGAAACTATAGCAAAGTTAAGAAGAAAAAGAAAACCTAAACCTGAACTAGGGTTCAATCTTAATAGAACCAAAAGACTAAAAGTGATTTAAAAGCTCTTAAATGATCTACGAAGACATGAGTATCTGGCTCATGAGATTCTCTTGTTCAGGATCAGAGATACCTTCCTTCTCAAGCTTTACCTTGCTGGTTTGTTCAGGCCTCTCCAAAAACTTCTCGTAACTCAACGGATTCTGTTCCTGCTGCATCATCACTTGATGTTGTTGTTGCACGTTCTGATGATCATAACCATCGACATTAACGTAATCATCTTCTTGCACCAACAAATCTCCGTATGAATAACAACCAAAGGCAAGATCTTGTCTTTGTCTTTGCATTTGCTGCTGCTGCTGAGCTAAAGATCGGTACATAGCGAGTTGCTGATTAACCAAGTTAAGCTCAGCTTGACAAGAATCGATCTTGCGTTTAAGATCACCCATGATTTTGTGAACCCCACCAACTGGATCTAAGGCCCGAGCATTAGCGTGGAAGATAAGGTTATGCATAGCTATGTCTCGTTGAGATTCTTCGACTCCTTTGATCATCTTTGTGATGTTGCTTACTCCAAAGAGTTTATGAGCATTTAGAAACTGCGTTTGTTGTTCTTGTGGGAAATAAGGAGCAAGAAGACAGTTCTTTGTGCATTTTTTTCTCTGGTATTTGCAAGCAGCGCAAGCGGTGGAATT